GATTACTGCTTGATAAAGTAATCAAATAATTTTCGAGTTTGATTATTGGTTAATCGAGTAATCAAATAATTTTCGAGTTTAATTATTGATTATCTAAGTAATTGTTAATCAAAGCTGTAATTATTACTGAAAATATCGATGATCCCTGCACATATATAATAAGACTAACTACAAATAATGTACGAATCGTAGTATCAGAGATATTTATATACATAATTTTTTCAAAAGAAATTTGTTTGAGCTTTGAGAATACTCCTAATTCGTGTTTTTCGTTCCACATTAACAGGATGCATTTCCTAAATCAAAAACTACGTTTGGAGAGCGTTTGTATATTAATGGTTCTTAACAACGCTTCTCTACTTATGTACTAAAAATTTTTTTGTTGTCAATTTTACACTGAAGATGGCCACATTCCTTGGCCGAAACGCATGTAATAATTTGTAATAAAAAATGATTTTTTGAGCAACTCGATCCGGCTCTTGCTCTATTTGCTTTATGTTAACACGAGTATTATTTTAATAATATCTTTTAAATGTCCGTTATTGAGACATTTATGTTTTACATACACGAATCGGTTTTTTGAGAATATAGCAAATTATGAGTTCTGAGTAACGCCTGGACCGATCAAGCTCTTTATTTAGTATAGTCTTGTAGTCTTTTTTTTCTGTTTTTTTCTTGTAGTCCCCCCTTTTTTTTGTTTTTGTTTTGTTATAGAACTATACGTCACTCTATATAAATATTTATATAATTTAATTAAGTGTAAATGTTTGTATTTTACTATTATGTTTACTTTTATTTTAAAGATGCTATACAAGTAAATGAGATAAATATGAAAAATATCTTGGATTATTTACATGCTTACGTTGTAACAGTTCGCAACATATTTAGATAAATGAGAGACGTTTTAATAACCTGAAATAATAATAATTACTTATAAAAATTATTACTGAAAAGTATCTGTTAATACTCACATCACTGAATGTCGCAATAGAAAGTTGTATTAATTTTCCAGCAGTTATTTTAATCACGGCGCTCGATCTTGATATAATCAAGATCAAGCCAAGGGCTGTTTTATGAGGTAAACGATACCAGTCGATCATATACGCCGTTTCACCAATTTTTTTACACTAATAAACATTATTCTGTTACAGATATGTAAGTTGATTTTTATACTACAGTCTGTCGAAATTCATGCTTGTATTGATATATTTTTACCTGTTGTGTTAGAGTTTCACCTATGTAGCAAAATATAAAAATATTGAAACTCATGGATATATACACGATAATATATGCTGCTATGCTCTTTGTATCAATTTTATTCCACCACTAAAAAAATTGCTAATTTTTTATTTTTTACTTTTTTGACTTTATCTTGGGAATATTTTTTAAATACAAGCTATTTAACATATTACTAAAAAATACTGTTACATGTTAATTTAGGCTACATATTCACCTTTTAAGATGATTAGCGTACCGTAATGGAGTAATATCCAAGCATACATAAGTTAAATGTACATCCCACTAATTCTATCAGGCATATTTGGTGCATAATGTCTTCGATGCGCGCTATAAACCTATATAAAAATTAAAATCTTATAATCAAAATCTCTAAAATAATAAAAAAATTTTTTGTGTATTTGTATGATGTGTATATATAATAGTATTTTAATGTACTAAATATGATTTTTCAAGTTCCAAGCTGGATACTTTTCTTGAAAAGATAAGCCACGCTTAAGAAGGTTCTTTGTGATTGATGGAGACCGAAAAGTAACATTAATTGAGCGCAATTAATGCAGCCTCGTAAAAAAACATTGTTGACACACTCAACATATCGCGAACGTTTATTGTACACAACATAATATTCAAATTTAATATTTAGTTTCTTTAATCCGAACAGCTTTTGGTCCAAGTATTATTCCAATCAAATATAATTAAAAGTTTTAATTAGACGTTTAAAATTATATTTTTTATCAAATAAATAAATTTAATGTTACCTTAAAACGCGCAAGTGGTGGTTTACGATATCGGCCAATCTTTTCTGAGCTGACTTGTTTTCTTTTGCACCTTCACCTTCTACAAGCTTGTCTAAACGCAAAGTTAAAATATCCAATTGGCCGCATGCATGCATAGCGAAAACAGCGGCTAGGCTGCAAGCGCCGACCGTAGTGGAATTTACTATGAAACACGAAAGCAACTGCATCACTAGAACAATCTCGTTAGCCGGACTGAATCTGGCATCTACAAATTTACTATATGAGGGACACGGCAATTGGAGCATCGAGACACTCCGATTAACTCCAATCGACACTGACACAGTCGTCATTCCGGACACAATGCTGTAGGAGAACACGCCGCTGTGCATGAATATTGCGCAGAAGCCTGCCACAAATCGACCCAGCTTCGCGTTCCTCGCCATGATTTCGCGATCTTGCGATCGTTTAATGATCCGCCAGTCCATTTCCATGTGCCGCACGCATTGGCGTATATCAGTGCTATGTAATAGCAAGGAGCTATAATTCATCCCGCCCATCAACCAATGACTCAACGGACCGATCGCTCGAAGTTTCAGTTCAATATCTCTTTCCTCGAAGAAGATGTTCAACACGCAAGGTACTACGGTGAAAGCTATCAACGAGTAGCAAGTGAATATTACAATGCGAGACAGGGCTTTTTCCCTACTCGAAATCGTGGAGAATTGCGGCCACGCGCCTATTGGCTTTAGGAACCAACGATTTAACTGCACACTGTGATCGTGCAAATCTTTAGTCACCGATTGACACATGGTGACTAAGCGACGGTATAATGGCTACTAGTCGAGTATTACAAGCGCACCTAGTAGTCACTATGGCGTCTGCGCGAAAGTAAAAGATAGTCCGCTACGAAGGAAATCTAATCGATTAACGAATGTCGTCAGACTCGCTGCTTTGATTATATTGTTACAAACGTGTAACTTATACGCTGAATCGTAGATTACTGCTACTCGTTGGGCTGAGAAAAATCTATGTCGACTACTTATTACATGTAACATATATAGAATTTTATTTGCATTTCGCATTTTATTAAATAAATTGCATTTTATTCAAACAAATGCAGAATTATATTGAGATTAATAAAGTATCATTTCTTGTAATTTAGAAACGTTTAATATCAAAAGAAAGTGTGACATTTTTTATAGATTTTATATTTGAAAATACAGCTGCAAATAAATTGTTTTGTCTATTTTCTTTAATAATCAGATGATTTGTATACAAATAAATAAAAACTTTATGTCACCTCTATTGAAATTTACACAATAGTTCAATTTCTTAGCATTACCAATGCACTTGTTGAAAAAAAAATCGTACAATAATTAAAAATCATAAACCAATGATTCATAAAGAGAATAATATATTGCGACTCTAATTTTAACATCTTTGATTTTAAATTTTAAAATTTTAATTCCGATCAGGCAACTATCAACTTCAACAACTAATAACAGAACTAAAAATTATAATTATTAGATTGCCTGTAAACATTTATTCTGGATTTGCGAGAAGAATGCATTGCATTCGATTCATAGAAGACACGTCAGATTCTGATTTTTACTACTGACTGCAGATTTTAATGGCAAGCAGTAGTTACGATTATGTTTGCGTGGATATACAGTTTATTCTTGAAGAGAACAGGGACACTGTGCTATGTCGACTGAATAATAGCCTATAGCTTCTGCAACTTGTTGCATAGAGAAACTTCGTGTAATATATAGCATATAAGTAATAGAAGCACAAATTGACTGAATCTGTTAAAAAAAGTGCACTGTCAGTTATAACTTGTTGCACAGAATTAATAATTTCCATAATTTTCGTTACTTTCGATGCGTGCGTCGAACGAAGAACTGCAAAAAAGAGAAAAAGATAAAACGGCAATTTTAATTTATGAGTTTTGAAATGCGAAGAGTAATGTATTCATGTATTTATACGTAGCTTTCGTATGGTTTAATTTTTTATATAACAATTTTTATATCAGGCTATATTATTATCAATAAAGAAAATGTTGTTATTAAAAGCTATGAAATTATTTATTATTGCATATAAATTAATTCATGTCTATTTTATGTTACATAGTTAACGTACGAAGTATATTGAGATATGCTGCAGATGTTTTAATCACCTGAAAGTGGAATAATATAGATAAAATAATAAAAATATAAAAATCAATTTTGTAATATAGAGGTGTTATTTTTGATAGATTTAAAAAAAAAACATTATACATAAAAATTTCTTAGAAATTGAAGAAAATCAATAATAAGTGTATCATACAAAAGTGTAAATAATAAAATGTACGAGAAATAATAAAATTTTATTTTCAGATGAAAATATTTGTGTTGTCAAAATTTATACTCACATCACCAAATGTCACTAAAGAGAGTTGAACCAATTTACCAGCAGTAATTTTTATTGCCGCACTGGATCTTGATATTATTAACACCATGCCCAGAGCAGTTTTATGAGGTAAATGATACCAATCAGTAAAATAAGCCGCTTCTCCGACTTTTTTACACTGTAGTTAATTTTATAAATGCGATAAAAATATTTGTCCGTGGATTGTGTAAATTAATGATATTTTAGAAATTTTTATTAGTAAAAAAATTGTTATATAATTAAATTACGAGATATACGTTACGTGTATGTTACCTGTTCAGTAATTAATTCACCGATGTAACAAAATATGAAAATATTAAAAGATAAGGATACAAACAAAATACCATATGTTGTTAAAGTCTTCGTGTTTCTCGCTTTCCACTCCTGAAATTACAAAATGGAGTGCTCCGCAAAAGCAAATAGTTTTTGAAGATATAAGACATAAATTATATAAAAAAATACATATTATATTTTACAAAAGTTTTAATGTTAATAATATAATTTTAATTATCATACCTTAATGGAACAGAAGCCAAGTAAACACAAATTTAATGTGCATCCGATTAATTCCACCATGCAAATTTGATTCATAATTTTTTCAAAGCATGATAGAAAACTAGAAATATTATGTTACGTATCTAAATTTTAAGTAAGTTTACTTGATATGCGTATATTCACAAATTAAAATCAAAATTTTTCACAAATTGAATTTCTTAAATTAACACTTAAAATATAATACTTTACTTTAAAACACGTAGGTGATGTTCGACTATATTAGCCAGCTTATGTTCGGCAGACAGCTTTTCTTCCTTTTCGACCAATTTATTCAAGTGTGAATAGAGCACGGCGAATTGTCCACACGCGTGCGTCGCGAAAACCGCAGCGAGACTGCACGCACCGACCGTGATAGAATTAGCTATAAAACCGGACAGAAATTGTGTGGCCAGTACAATGTGATTCGCCGGATCGTGGTTAGTATCCAAAAGCTTGCTGTAAAACGGGCAAGGTAATCGTCGCATCGAAACGCTTTGGTTGCCAATCACAATGGTTATCGGCGACAGACTGTACACGACACTGTACGAGAACACACCGCAATGCATAAACATGGCGCAGAATCCTGCTACAAATCGGCCGAACTTGGCATATTTTAGCATCAACTCGCGATCCTCGACTTTGCTCACCATGCACCAATCGCTCTTTATATGTTCGATGCAACGACGTATGTCTTTGTTCCGCCACAGCAGAGAGGAATAATTCATTCCGCTCATAATCCAGTGACTTACGGGACCCACCGAATCCATTTTAATATCGAGATCTTGTTCCTCGAAATAGAAGTATAGCATGCAAGGAAAGACTGTAAAAGCTATGAGAGTATAGCATGTTATCTGAATAATCTTCGACAAAAGTCTCTCGGCAGTAGTGTTAGAATGTAATTGCGGCCAGACGCCGATCGGTCTCAAGAACCAGCGATTCAGCTGAAGACTGTATTCGTGGTACTCATTACGATGATGTAAAGCCGACATTGGCTTATTAGATGGTGATATCATGTGATCGTTCTGTGATAGCGCGTGAGATACTGAATATTTTTGCTACCGTGTCTTTTCATGGAGTGGCAAGCGGAAAAGTCAGTGTAGCAATTGCGCAGGTCTGCATTTAGAGAGGTTTCCGCGAAGAGGCGGAACATTGTGTTAATCGATAATCGCTACTTGTTGCACCGCCGATTGCAACTATGGACATAGGAAATGTCTGAACTGACGTGTGCATTCTGCTTTACAAGTCGTACAGCATTGTAGAATTAAGTATGCGATATTTTATATTGTTTAGAAGATTGCTGTTTTTATGCTAAAAACAGATTTTATGTCAAAAAAAGCACGTGAGTAAGATAAAAGATAAATAAGAAATTGACAAGTTAGTATTTTTAGCTAAAATTTTTGGTTACAATTAAGTTATAATTTTTTATATAATATTATATATTTAGCATTACATAATAATTTTCTAAAGTTATAATACAATATATATATATAAACACTCGTCTATAATATTTAAATCACCAAAAGTTGAAGTTGACATGAAATATTTTTCCAGCAGTAATTTTGATAACTCGACCGCATAATTATTAAAATTGGACCAAGCACAATTTCACGCGGTAATTTATATTAATTTGTCATATAAATTGCTTCACTGACTTTTTCGCACTGTTGCAAAATTAGATTTTTTTAAACCAAGATTTTTTTAGATTAATTTAATTAAAAATAAAGAATTTAAAACTGTCAGAAATATAAACACAATTAGTTTACCTGTTCCGTAACCAAATCACCGATGTAGCAAAATATGAAAATGTTGAACATCATTGATGTTAATACTATAAGGTACGTTATTAAAGCATTCATACTTTTCTCGTGCCATTCCTGAAAAAAAAAACAGTTTTTAAGCGCACCATAATGGTGTAATATCCTAGCATACATAAGTTGAATGTACATCCGACTAAATCCACAAAATGTATTTAATTATTTTCATATATGAAAGAAATCTGAAGTTGACACACTTAACAATTTCTCAAAAAGTTCAATACTTCTACTCGATTAATTTATTATTAAAAATAATTATGTTTTTTTTTCAATTAAATATCAGACTTGCAAAAAAATATTCGAAATTATTTTAATGTTATAAAGTCTTGCAAAGTAATATCTTGCAGAAAATTAGATATTTGAAATTAAATTTGATCATTTATATATCGCACACCTGTAAGAAATGTAACAAATAAAAAATATCAAATTGTTGGAGAAAGGAAAGAAGGAATTGCGTTAATAATAACGTTTTCTATTAACAATATTATGAATTGATTTTTTGCGGGTGTGCGATATGTATATTTTTTATATTAATTATAAATTTAGATGATAATAAATTGTAAATTAATCTTATCTTAGATGATATTCTCTGAGATTCGCTAGTTTCCTTTGAATGATATAGTATTGTCTTTCTTCATAACGAGTTCTTCGAGTTGCAACATAACTACACTGAGCTGAAGGCGTGCAGGCATGCATCGCAAAGACTGCCGCCAAACCGCACGCACCAACCGTGATATTATTCACCACAATACTCGAGATGCATTGTAGCGTGAACACGATCTTGTGATTTGAATCTGTTGATCTGGTGTCTACGATTTTGTTGAAAGACGAGCACGATAAGCGATTTATTGAGACGTTACCAATAAGTACGAGTATCGGCGATGTTTTTCTTACAATGTTATAAGAAAAAATGCCACTCTGCATAATCAGTTCACAAACGTCCGCTGTAACGCGTTTCAATCTAGCGTTCCTCAACATTATTTTACGATCGTGTTCTCTCTTTGCCATTCGCCAATCAGTCTCCACATGTTCGATAGACGTAAGTATTTTGTTCTTTTAATATTGCAGTGAACAATAATTAATACCACTCATGAGAAACATTCAGTTAATCTCAGAATCTTTGACAAAATCTTCTCAATAGCCGAGCTCGTGGGTAAATCCGGCCAAGTACCTATTGGCTTCTAAATCTAAGGATTCAATTGGAGACTATGATCATTATGTTGTCTGTAAACATCTACTCCTGTTTCGCGAAAGAAATGCTTCATATTAGAGTCACGTAAGGCGCGTCAGATACTGGTCTTTACTACTGCTTGCGCGTTTCAACGGCAAGTAGTAGTTACGGCAGCACCTGCGCGACCACATGTTGTATTGCTATATATATATATATATATATATATATATATATATATA